CTGATAATGGCTCTGGAGTTGGGTATCACAGAGCCCCGGATGAGGATGGGGGTGAGCATGCAGCAAAGGTCCCTTGCAGGTTTGGGGTGTATGACCAGACATGGAAACAGCCCATGTGTGGGTCTGCTCTGGGACAGTTTTCACAGGGCAGCTTCCCTGGGGTGACAAGATGACATGGCACACACCGGGTTTCTGTTTCTCACCTTTGATGCCTTGCTTCCTTTGCCATGACACCTGACTCTGCACTGTGAGAACTCTCATTGGTGCCCTTTCCCTGCACGCACTCAAAGATAAGCTCTATGCTGCTATTTTCCTTGTCAGGGCTCTCTCCAGACCAGCCCAATCCCTCCCCAGCTCTCCCCACCTCCCCTGCCCTTTATAACAGCTAAGTACAGCTCATACCAGCAGAGCAGCCCAGTTTGGGCTGGCTCCATTACACTTCTTACAACTGGGTGCTGCAGAGCCCAGGGCACTCACCCCACAGCCCCACTCCCTCTGGTGGGCACAAGAGCCTCTGGGGACCAGAGAGGGCTCTCAGGCTCCCCATCAGCCCCAGGGCTGCTGCTTGCAATAACGGTATGAGGAAACAGAGGCAAGCAGCATTCCTGTGTTTTTATTGTAGGTGACATCTCCTCTGCCCCCACCAGCCCCACTCCCCAGGACAGCATGAGGGCCCTGGGCCTCGTCAGGCAGCAACCTCATTACACCAGCCTCCCTTCCCTCTGCCTGCTGGGTCCCCATTCACTCCCGTGGCACAGCAGAGTCTTTGTTTGTGGGTACCTCAATGTACTTTACTTTTGGGGCACATCACCTTCGAGGGTGTTCCACCTTTTCAGACTTCATTCCTTCCCAGCCCAGGGCACATGGTGAGGCCTCATCTTCTCCTGACCCCTTTACATTCATTTTTCAAAAGACTTGTGTATGCCACCAGTCCTGCCACATGTGAAGAAAGCTGAAGAGGTAACTGGGAGCACATGCACCATCTCCACTGTCACTGGAGACCAAGAAGAGAGCCATTAGAACCAGAACTTTCTGTGGAATGGAAACAAATATGACCATGACCTTAAATCCAACAACACTGAGAATAGAAGGAGAACGGACTTATCAGAAGACCTGCTTCTTGGACATTTTATTTGGAGCACATTTGAAGAAATAGCTAAGCCTTCAAGAGCTACAGCTGGGAGATGTCCTTTAATTAAAGAGCCGCATTTGGTCAGACCACAGCTGACGTAGTGTTGTGCAAGGGTCAGATACTACTGCATCGGACCACAAGTAGTATAAACCCATAACATTATCTATAAGTAGGATTATCACAAGAAAAAAGAAAACAGACTTCTGGGTTAAGATAAACTCTGGAAAACATGCAGAGAATTGGAGGCAGATTATTGTCAGTGAAACAATGTCCATTGGACCAGTTTCCACACTGCATCCTTGAGCTCCTGGTTCCTCATGCCGTAGATGAGGGCTTTCACTGCTGGAGGCACCACTGAGTACAGCA